CGTCACTCCATCAGTAATTATGATAGTACAGGAATATTAACCTGTTGTCCATCGACTACGCCTTTCGGCCTCGCCTTAGGTCCCGACTAACCCAGGGTAGACGACCTTCACCCTGGAAACCTTGGTCTTACGGCCAGAAGGATTCTCACCTTCTATCGTTACTCACGCCGGCATTCTCACTAGTAAAAACTCCACTAATCCTTACGGTTTAACTTCAATGCTTTTACTACGCTCCCCTACCGCTAGTTGGCAACAGAAAAATATTAACTAATCGCAGTAAACGGTGTAATTCTCATTTAGTTTGCTACATTTTGGACAAAATTTTAAATCCTTATAGTTGATTTTTATTTTTTCACTGATGCTTGCATTCTTTTTTGAACAATATTCTTTATTATTTACTACTTTTTTATGTTAATTAATTTTTTTATTACCAACTAGCCTATGGCTTCGGTATAGTATTTGAGCCCCCTTACATTCTCGGCACTGCCAGACTAGACTAGTGAGCTGTTACGCACTCTTTAAAGGATGGCTGCTTCTAAGCCAACCTTCTAGCTGTTTTTGTCTGACAACTTCCTTCTACACTTAATACTACTTAGGGACCTTAGCCGATAATCTGGGCTGTTTCCCTCACGTCCATGGAGCTTATCCCCCATAGACTGACTACCAGATAATACAATAACGGTATTCGGAGTTTAATTAGAGGTGGTACCCGGTTAAGGGCCCTTCTCTATTCAGTGCTCTACCCCCATTATCTTCACTCTGGCGCTAGTCCTACAACTATATCGGGGAGAACCAGCTATCTCGAGGTTCGATTACAATTTCAGCTCTAACCACAAGTCATCCAAGAGCATTTCAACGATCACTGGTTCGGCCCTCCATTAGGTTTTACCCTAATTTCAGCCTGCTCATGGTTAGCTCACCTCGTTTCGGGTCTATAATCATTGACTATATGCTCTATTAAAACTCGCTTTCGCTGCGGCTCCATTTCAAAGAAACTTAACCTTGCCAATAATTATAACTCGCCGGCTCATTCTGCAAAAAGCACGCCATTAGGCTTTAACGCCCTTTGACTTCTTATAAGTGTTATGGTTTCAAGTTCTATTTCACTCCTCTTCCAAGGTTCTTTTCAACTTTCCCTCACGGTACTAGTTCACTATCGGTGACTAATGAGTATTTAGCCTTACGGGGTGGCCCCCGT